CCCGACATCGAGTGTCTGGAACTTGCAACCCCATAACACGACTTCGATACACTAGGGTATTCACCACACAATCCTGGTAGGCACAAATGAAACCCTCAGTTTCGGACATCAAGCCAGCTGACTTCAAGAAAGAGAATGTCAACTGGACGGAGAGACTCTGCTCTTCCACATGGCGGAAGAATACGCCATGCATGGGCCTATCAACGTGCTGGCGGAACAAGGTGGACTGCTCCGCCGCCTTAATGCTCGCTCTACGCCGAGATTTGGCCATGAAGGCTAATGAATCACCAACCAACTGACCATCTCGGCCACGACGAAATTCCAAACCGAGGGACGCCGCTGCGGTATCTGCTGCCTTATATAGGAAGGCTTGAATCCCAAGCAGCTCATGATCATGCACGAACTCCAAGTGCGGATCCAAACCATTCATATCGTCACAAGCTAAACCGAGCACTAGACGATCATGTAGAGCCTCCAAACTGAGAAGTCCTCGTCCCCCACTCTCCCGCGGAAAATATAACCGCGGACTCGAAGAGCGTAGATGGAGACTCCTGTGGGTATTCATCAGCTTGCGGGTATCTCTGTCCAGCTGCTTCAGTTCACCTCTGCTCCATTTGAGAACTCCAAAAAAGTAAAGGAGCACCGGGACAGCGAACATTTTCGACGCGGCGACTTTATTCTTCCCGGAAAGTTCGGATTTCCAAACTTTCCGCAGCCGCCGCCGGTACTCTCCGCAAAGAGTCTCCTTGACTGCCTCAGCGTCCACTACGGAACGATGATTGAAGCCAAGATATGGATATGACTCTTCGGCGCCAAAATGACGTATGACGCTTCCATCTACGAGCTGAAGATCACCCCTCTCGTCACTGACTTTGCCCCTCTTTAGATGGAACACGGCACACTTGTCCAACCCAAATCTCATGCCAACCGCACGTGAATACACTGCGACAACGTCAAGCAGAAGCTTGAGCTATCGTTCTCCTGAGGCGAATAACTTCAGGTCATCCATGTAAAATACATTATTATTATTATTATTATTATTATTAATTTTATCAATTTCGACGAAATCGGAATAAATTTGGAATTTTGTGTTTGGAGAGGAAATAATAACGAACCACAACTGATTGATGGTGCAACTTCATGAGATCTTTATCAGTGATCGTCATCAATCATTTCAGAAATATTAAGAGTATTATTTCCCCAAATAACCGAATTCATTCGTTTATCATTGGAACTTGGAAAATAATAAATAATTGAGGATTTCAATTTTTTTTAATAACTAAAACTCAGTAGTGTCCTCTTAACACAGCGTTTAGCGTTACCCAGGGTTGGCGATGTGGACACAGTTGGTATGTGAACCCCAAAGAGCCAAAATAATAAAATTAATTTTCGACTCGTCACATTTATTTAGTTTGACCCTGTATACAGGGTCATACCAGTATATACCAACTAATTAAAATTATTCTATGGCGGTCGCATTTTAAAAAGTTTTATTCACTCTGACTGCCACGTGTCGCCGAAGGGAGTAACTAAATACTCCTCATTTCACCCCTCTCGTCTAAACCCCAAGCTCAAAGGAGAGTAAAAAAAATTTGAGGATTTTCTTTCTTACGACAAGGGGAGAGACGGTCCTGTGAAATCACCACGTGCCGGCGACACCAAAAAGAAAACTGTACCCGTGAGAATCGCGTCAGGAATAATGGGGAGAACGCGAATTGTGAAGAGGAACCTCCACGCGCGGTATGGTACGTAAGAATACAGCGGTATGAAAAGAAAAATGCTGGCACCCCCTCTCCCAATAATTCCAACAAATTTTCTTTTTGTCATCGCAAAGCTAACGGAGAATGATTATCTCTGCACGTGCCATCGTCCGCGCACTGCCTTCGCTCCTCATAATTTCCTTTTTAATATTTCATGCATTTCCTTGAGTCGAGCTCAACCAATCATGAAAAATTGATAATGAGGAGTTTTTAATACCTGGTGTACTCTCCGTTACTTTGATAAATCGCAGCCTCAGGTATGACAAATCGTATAGAAATTCTATACGCTATATACCCTATAAAATTTCTATACGAGCGTATAGAATTTCTATAGGATTTTCGTATGATATTCGGATATTTCTATACGGATATTTGTTATCAAATTATTTCCATACGATTTCTATAGGTTTGATTCTATACGACCCACTGCCACATGTATAGAAACATTCACGGAAAGAAATTTTCTAGAAAAATTTTAGTACGAGTACTGGTAAAAATCACAATCCATCGGCTGTGAAAAATTCTAGTGCTGTTAAGGTAAAATTTCTTGGTATTTCTGGTAAAATTTCTGGGGATTCGGTGAAATTTTCACAGAAATACGGGGAAAAATTCACGTTTTCCCTAATAAAATTTCTAGTGCCGGCACTGGAATTTTTTCCTGGCCGTCACTTTGCGCCTCTTTTCCCGTGTTAGCACTAGAATTTTTCTGAAAAAATTCTCTCCGTCTTTCGTATGGAATTGCGACATTTCTCTACGTTTTTCTCTGAAGCGTTTAGACAACTTTCGTATGAAAACAGAAATTTATGTAGAAATTTATGTATAGAAATAATTTGTATAGGAAATATTCGTATAGTAATATCCGAATATCATATACGGAAATCCTATAGAATTTCTATACACAATCCGTATAGAAAAATTCTATACGATTTTTTCATACGTGCTCCGTTCTTCCTGTTTTCAGGCATGTGGATTACACAGTTCCGTGGGATGGGTATCAGGCGCAAATGAAGGAAACTGGGAGAATTAGAAATTGCCGGGAGTAACGACCAACTTTAGAGAGAATTTTCACCCCAATAATCGTTGGGGCCTTCACACTTTCTCCTGCACTTCTTCATTCACATGGAATTCTTCGGTGAATGAACTTTGAAAGATTAATGAAATAGTGGAGTTGATAAGCCCCGGGTGTACTGACACCGGAGTATGAATTTTATTCCAAACTTTTTACACTCTTCTCCCCTCGTTCATAAGTTCTGTTTACTTAACTATACGTAAGGTGTCTCAAAATGGATCTGAGATATCGTGAGGGTGTGGGACCGAGGGGCGGGG